GCATAACAAAGTTCCCCTGGCGCAGAAATCTTTCGCGCTCCGAGATACCTTCTTCGTGTAGGTCCCCGTGGGCATCGACCTTAGAGATCGACTCGAGGTTGGTCCCCCAAAAATGTCTCGCCTGGGTGACATGACCAGCGCACTGTCGCTTTGCGCTGCTCCCGCCAGCAGGTCCTAGATTCATTAAATGAACAAGGTTAGCACAATCATAATAACATTGACCGGGGCCTTCGGTCTGAACAGAAGTCCAAGCAAGGGCCCCAGAATCAGCTCCTTGGGGGGTCTGAGGCCACGGAGCCCACAGAGGACCTTTTAAACCCCCGAGGCGCTCGCCCGAACTTGAGACCACCACCGCGGCCCAACCAGCCCGAGACAACTCACGAACGACACGAGCCATCCACAAAAAGGTGCCCCCCAGAGCCCAGTGGAAGGAGGTAAGGTGGGCGCAGCGGCAGGGCCGGCAGGGTCGGGAAGGGCGTCAGCAAGCCATTCCGAGCTCGTACCTCCATCAGTGAGCGGGGGTGGGGAATAGTCTCCAGGGTGTCTGAAGGCTCCGTGGAGGCGCGAGAACATGTCCACGCGATGCCCCCCTAGCTCAAGAGCTTCCTCCCGAATGAATTTGTCCAGCGCGCCGTCTGTGACGTCCTGCGCGCGGGGGCGCTCGTGCAGCCCGTGGAGCAAGGCGTCGCGGCCCGCGCCGCGCAATGCACGCCAGTCGCTAAACTTTGTCCTGAAACCTTCTTGGAGGACAAAAGCTGCTTGACCACATCCCAGCGAGGACGGGGGCCGCAACCGCTATTGTCCCCCGAGTCCCTTTCAAGACCCCTCAAAACAGCTTCCCAGTGGAGCAGTTTCACCAGCCTCCAAACAACGCCCCCCGCCCCCCTGTAGGCCCCCGCAGCCAAGTGCCCGCGGGGGGGCTTAAGATCCCCAAGCAACGCTTCATGCCTGCGGACGCGACCCAAACGCGGTAGAGGCTGGGGAAAACACCAATGGGTCGGAATCCCCCAGTCGGCTTGGCCAGAAGGGCAGCTGGCGAGGGAGGGGCCCATTGGCCTCCCAAGCGGCGAACCACAACGCAAGAGCCCTCGGAGCCTCGTTAGGGAGTTAGCTGAAGTGACGGCAGTGAAAACTATCGACACCGACCGCCGAGCTAAGGCGATACTTCTTAGAGGCAACTCGAATCTTAGCAAGCTCCCAAACACGGGCATGCGGGAGAAGGTCGTGCCCCACTCCGCCCCCCGAGCCCAGGCCGCAAATAGCAGCGAACATGTCGCCTTCAACCCAAAACAAAAAACAGGGTCGCAAACAATGGTCCCTCATCGAGACGCTGTGGTAGTCGGCTTCCACGGCTCAGGATCCCTGATCGTTATTTTTTTTGCGCGTTACGACCTCCGGCATCGATGCCCTTACTCGCCCGCTCGTGCCACTCTTTCCGCGACTCCGTCGCGGGGGTGGCCTTGGCGGTGGACGCGGCGAGCGTAACCTGAGCGATCAGGTCGTCCAGATCCGAAAACAGCTCAGGATCGACATCAGGCACCAGGGCGTATCTAGCTAGGGCCCCGCCAGCCCATGAAGACAGAAAAGAAGTCCGCACCTTCTTGCACCGCCGCGGCCCCTGGAGGATGGATGAGCGAATGGAGCGCCTGACGCCCAGCTTCCTGCGATGTCGATTCAGAGAGGCAGCGCCTAACAGCTCGCAACTGGTTGCGCGGCCGCTGAGCCGATCGCAATTCGGGCTGCCTCTCTCTGCCCGCGGGTTTCAAACCGGAATTCCAGCAAACTCGAAACATTTTGCCCCAATATTCCCCGGGATTGTGCGATCAGATCCCAGGGCCAGCGCTGAATCCCTCTCCGAGAGTCCGCCCAAACCATGTAACAAGGATTGAAGGGTCTGCGGGCTTTGATCCCATCCCCAGCTCCCGCAGCCCCTAAAGCTCCCTCGGCCAAGCTAGGGGCGGCATCCCAAGAGCCAGGCCAGGGGGCAGGGCCCCAGGGGGCCGCGACAGGCAACGAAGAGGGCTGGCGGAAGGCGAGTGCCTTGAGATCTCCGGGGGAGCTATGAAAGCGGATCGACGCAGCGCGGTTGGGGGCGAGGCTAGTGTCGTCTTCAACTCCGGCTTGTTTTAAACAGGGGCTCAGGTTCTCGGAAACCGCACATAGTCACAGCGATCGGGGGCTCCGCGACTAGGGAAGTGCGCGCGTCCCACAGGAACCACCACGGAGGCTCTGAGACGACTGGCAAAGCAAGGGCCCCAGGACCTCAGGACCCATGTTCGAGTCAGCTCCTGCAATGAACTCACAACCTAAAGAATCCAGAAACTCCCCCACAACGCGTAAACTAACGAGATTCGAATCGGGCAGACTTTCGCAGTGGACAAGGTAGAGGCTGCAGATGCACGTCGGGGCGCAACCTGGCACGCGCACCATGGTCGCCACAGCTCTGCCAGCGCAACGAGTAGCGCGATCCCCAGCTTCACGAAGCCGAGGCCATCGCGAACACAAGCGCATAGTCCAGCAGAAACTCCTCCACCATCCCCAGGTACTCCAAGGGCCCGCGCAGATATCCTGCCCAGGAACTTGGAAGTTTTCGAGGCTTGGTCCAGAGCCCCCGGATCCGACAGTCAATGCCCCTGCGCAATCACCGCGTGGGCCTGCGAGGTGGATGGGGTTATATTTCAGGGTGCCCCCGCGAGTGGGCGTTGAGAGTGGTGACCAAGAGCCCCTCGTCTAGCCTGATCGCGCAGTCAGTGGCCGCGCCCTGGGCAGCTGGGGTTCGAGCTGAGGTCGCCGGCAAACCTTCGAGGGAACGCATGCAGGACCAGGCCCTTGCCGAGCTCGCGCCACAAGAGAACGGCATCGGATTGCGGCAAGCGCGCGGCTGGCTGCTCCACCAACGGGGTCTCCCCAGTCCTCACACAGCGCGGTTTCCCGACCGCGCCAGGCAGAGGCAGAGAGGAGATGCGAGAGGCCCCTTGGCTCTCTGGGCGCGCCCTAATTTCAGAAGGCAAAAGAGGAGCACCAAATCAGACTCCAACAGCCTGATGGCCAAAGCCACCATTGAGGCGCCAAAAAAACGAACCCCTGACGCCTGGGACCTGGAGCCAATCGCAGAAACTCTCGAGGCAAAAAAATGAAAAGCTCCCAGGAGGGTTTCAAACCTGGGCCCCCGCTCTCAGGTACTTGCCCCCTGTCGCGCGCACGCAGCTGTGGCGGGATGCGAAGCTTCCTTGAGAGTCTGGTCCACCCTGGCTCGGATGTCCTCTGAGGCGGAAGCGTCCTCGGCTGCCGAGTCAGGCTGCGCAGATGCAGAGGCACCTTCAGAAGCCGCCCCAGGTTCAGCATGAGCCGCTCCAGCGCCCTCGCCCGCGCCAGCTCCGCCTGCAGCCGCAGCGCCGTCCGCAACCTTGCGCCTCTTGGCGGCAAGCCGCGTGCGATGCGCCTCATGCTGGTCTCGCAGTTTCTTGGCGTGGCCCGCCACCTGCGCAAAACAATTCCCTCGCCAGCTTCGCGACTCCTGAAACAAGCTCCTCCTTGCGCTTCTGGAGCTGCTCCATGTCGCTGGCCTCGACCTCGGCCTCCACAGGGAGATCCTCCAGGATGTGACTGCCGTCGATGAACTTGGAGAGGTCGACCGAGCCTGCGACCAGGTCCTCAAGCTTGAAAGAACCGGCTGGGGCCTGAGGTTCCTCCCCAGACTTGCGCGAGCCCTGCAGCGCAGCGAGCGAGGCCTTGTAGCCTGCGCCCGCGTGGTTGACTCGGTCCCGAACGGTGCGCAGTGTGGCCTCAGCTTCCCCGAGGTGTTCACGCAAGCGAACCACCTTACTGAGAGTCTGTTCCATCTGCTTCTCGAGCCTTCGCACGTTGGAATGAACCTGCTGCGTACGGGCGTGGTCCGAGACAACAACAGGCTTGGCAGCCGCCTCCAAATGACGCGCCATGTCCAGGTACGTGGAAGCCATGCCCCCCCGCTTTACGGATCGACTCGCCAAAAGACTTCGCCTCCGCAGCGGAGATGGACGGAGCGGGTCCCGCAGGAAGTGGCGGGGCAACTCCCCCCGGCAGCATCTCCCACCTGTGCATCATCATGACGAGCCAACACATCCCACACGGAGGCGTCGCATCCGTAATCGCCTTTACCTTTTTCCATTGCCATTGCAAAGAACACCACCCTTGCCTTTGCCACCGGACGAGCCTTTTGTTGCCCACGCCTTTGGACCCGAGGCCATTCCCGTACCAGCAGCCAGGAGGCCCAGTGAGCGCCCAACGCCCTTGGACAACATGACCAGCAGCAGGAGACAGATACGGAAGAGCATAGGCACAGTTCTTGCAGTACTCGGCGTTGGCGCTGTTGTTCTTGCAACCGCAACTGGGGCACACCATGCCCTTCGGCCCTCGACGGCGGCCTATGTGATCCATGGCTCCTCACCTCCTTGGGACTTGATCCAAGGAGCGAGCGAGAAAGAATGGGCAAGCGTCATCGCAATGCTGAAATGAAACGGTGAAAGAGAGACTTCCTTAAACGGGACGTTTTGGGAAAAGAGCCAGGCGGTCGGACGCCTGGGAAAGCTGTGGGGGCCGCGAATCCCCTTTGCCACAATGCCAAGCCCTGAGCGAAACACTACGGACTTGAGCCAAAATGGCTACGGAGGCCTCTTCCTCCTCCTCCTCCTCCTCCTCCTCCTCCTCCTCCTCTTCCCCGTCCTCCTCACTCTCACTCTCCTCCTCCTTCTCCTCCTCCTCCTCCTGATCCTCCTCCCTCTCCTCCACTCTCTTCCTTCTCACCGTGCTCTTCCAAGGGGTTCCATATGGCTGGGCGAACACATAGTCCAATAGCTTGGCCAAGCTTTGGCCCATCGCTTGGTTACATATGCGCTTCCAGAACGCAAAGGGCGGCAGTGGTTCGGCGCAAGCCCCTTCGATCAGGAATACGCGTGTATCTACGTTGCTGGCTGCCCGGGCCTCCTTCCCCCCTCCTCCTCTGCGGTCGTTCTATGCTT